CACCAGCCGACACAGCTTGAAGCCCTTGGATGATCTATCATGCATAGCACCTGCCGACCAGCCATGACCAAGCGTAGCACCTGTCGGTCAGGCATGACTTGACATCTCCACCGAAGCTCCTTGCAAGACGAAGCCGCTCCACCTCCTGCCTCTGACTTCCAGCATTGCTCCACAAAAGATGCTCCCAAGAGAGAAACGACACCGGAGTGCCGCCATCGTCCGGTCTGAAACACTAGACCCTAGGGTTTCCCCCGGAGCAATACGAGTGGGTCGATGGTATTCACACGACGATGCCTTCATTAAGGTAACGACGTGGAACGCCGCCATCGCCCGCCGTCGGCTCGGTTTTCACCGGCAACTACGTCTCCCCGACTCGCAGCTGGTGCCAGATGACGGATCCCGAGATCCGAACACCCAGCCTCAGGCCAACCACCTCTGACGGAAGAGATGACCACCACACCGCCGGCTGCACCGGTCAGAACAGATCTTATCGAAGGTGCCGCCGACGAGACCACCAGGCCCTTCACGCCATCATCTCGATCTGAAGGCAGCATGCACGCCACCGCAGCCAAGCTGGCCGCCGCCGCCCGAAGGGCTATCCGCAGCGCCCGCAGCCCTGGCCTCCGCCGCGCCAAGTCGTCGCCGTCCGAGGACGGGCCGGCCTCCCGCCGCCTGCAGCCATCTGCCGCACGGCAGATCCCAGATCGGTCGCGCCACCACACGCCTTGGGGTCCGCCCCATCTCAGAGACGCGCGAGAGAGGAGATCCCCAGCCACCGCCGTCGGCCCCCGGGCTTAGCCCGGCGGCGGCGGAGGGAGAGGAGGAGGGAGTTTGCGGCGGCGGCGGCTAGGTTTATGGCCGCCCGAGTCGCCCTAGGGGGAGGACGACACGGGGGTCTTTGTCAAGTATTTCTTATACATGTTGCATGATAAAATAATAGGCCCAAAATGAGTAACTTATTACCTCATGTTTTGATCTGTCTGTGTTCTATATGACTCGTGTATAATAGTGGCCAGTGCTATACACACAAGCATGGTCATTCACTGAAGAATCATAAGTACCTGAAGCTGCACTAGGAAAAGTGACATTCGACGACGCTACTCTGTCTTTGGGGTGTCATCTGATAATTCTTATTGACCATTGTTGGGTTGGTTTCTGCGTTCTGGACTCTGCTCGACAACTCTGCTATGCACTGCTAACAATTAAGTAAAATTCTTTAGGCCTTGTTCGGTTCCTTCAGATTTGAAGGGGTTTGAAGAGGATTGAGAGGGATTAAATCCCCCACAAGTCAAAATTCACCTCAATCCCCTCCAATCCTCTTCAATCCTTTGTGGAAGGGATTAACCGAACAAGCCCTTAGTTTGTGCCTGGCTTCAATTTATTTTCATGGTAATGCTCAATTCCGTTACTGTTCAGCAGGCGAGGCGAATGACGAGGGGATCGGTCGATCCTGCGGACTTGGGTGATTTATCTGCCAAGGAGAAAGGAGGGAATTCAGCCGACGCCTCGTCTGGTTGAAATTGATCCACCGAGATTTCAAGATGCAGACATTCTTCCGTTTCTGTTCGGACATTCATGGTGGGTGATGGTACATGCATATATATGCTGCCCCCTACCACTCTTCACTCAACCTTTGCACTCTACATCCTTTTAGTGTGTAAGAGGTAGTTAAATTTGATATAGTGAGAAACATGATTGTAGATTATACTATGTTTCTATTGTACAGAGTGAGATCTGTGTCTGCCCACTGACCCGACGCCTCGTCGCTGCCGAACACCCATGCTCTGTCCCGACCAGCTCTCATGCAGCATGGCTAGAAGACTCTGACACGTCTAGATCTGCCAGCCGCCATCCCAACCGCATGGTATTTCAATTTTAAACCGGCGGTATGTGTGCGCAGTGAAGAAATATCAAGCCTTTACATGGCACAACTGATACATGTGTTTTTATTTAAAAGGAGGTTAGAACTGATACATGTGTGCAGTTCACATGTATTGCTTCCACTTAGCTACAACTCGTATGTACATGTATGGAAGAATCTGTCTATTTGTCATGTATTTGTAGAATTTTGCCTTTGTCTTATGTGCAGTAATACGTGATCATCTTTTCATGAATATAAATGTTCATCTTTGGATAATAGTTTCATTAATTTTATCGGGACTCCAAGTGCATAGCGCTTACTTGCAAAAATACCCTACTTGGACAATATAATGTTCTTATTTGGGTAAACAATAAACCTTACCCAAATAGTATGTAAAAGTAAAACAAAGGCTGGTCATGGTAATTAATGCGCATTTGCAATTGCACATATTCTTTCTTTTCATGTTACAGAGAATCTCCATACATGACGAACTACTACATCAACATTTTTCCCAGCTTTTCAACAATATACACTAGGCAGTAAGTCCCATGGTATATGAAGTATGATTTTGTTTTGTTTGTTTATGAGCACTACCCTAATTTACATGGGATTTCTATGAAAACTTCTGAAACTATGGTCGGTTTTTATATGGTCATATTTTGTGACCATGACTTATTAAGATCACACTTCTAATTATATTGTTTAATTCAACATTTCTATTAGCAATTTGTTTTGTTTCTTTCACATCACAGATCACTCAAACTTGATAGTTTGAGTTTTCAATTCTATAGATCCTACTTCTGCCATTGCTTGTTCCTTCACTCCTGACCAATACTATGGTACATGTGTCAACAATATAAGTTCATTAGCTCCAACTTAATAATCCAGATTGTATAATCGCCATGTTGAGAATTGAGAAATGCATTCCTTCCGATCTAGAGAAAAGGTTATTAGTGAATATGCTATTTACTAGACCTGAACAGTAGTCTAGCTTGCTTGCAAAAAAAAGCGAGTTCAATTCGCAGTCGTGGTATTCTTCAGTTATCTATTTTTTTGTCCCACAAGTTACTTTGGGAGTATAATTGTTTTTCTCTTCCTCTACATGTCCTATACTAACATATGTTATTTTGTGCTAGAGAGGAAAGATAAAATTTAACTTTGATTCCAATGGAAGTTTTATTTGCTTTCCATGTCAGTAGTTTTGCTACACTATAGTTGTGATAATCCCTGTGGCAATTATTGTGCTGATTAGATCATGTTAAGCATGATTAGTTTTTTAGAGTCGGTCTACTTTAAACGTTGCCTAGCGCCGCTGTTCTGAATTGAACACCAATCTTCTAATAAATCTTCCAATTATGGAAACAGAAACTTGATCTAGGAGTCAATTACTAATACCATCTTCTTAGATCAAATAAATTAAACTTTTTTATTGACCAATACTGTGCTCCACTGTCGTACAATGATTAAAGTTATGTACTTTGATTACTAACAAAATATGGCTCCGCTTATCAGCTTGCAGCAATAGCTAAAATTTGATCGTAAAATGTATGGGCGCGGCAACGTGCCATCAACGATCTAGTAATTTTCAATCAGAGGGTACACTACGGTTGCATGCATGCACTGCCATTCTCTCTCCCAGACAAATGCACCCATTTATTTTACGTTTGCTAATTTAGATCGTTCATATATTTTAAACCAATATTCTGATTTTAAAACTTTATATATATGAACTCATGCCGCAAAGACCTTTGGAACAAGACTGATTTTGGCTACATGTTAAATGAGTTTAAATTTCATGAAACGTATTTCACATATTTCGCCCGCTTGAAATCTTGTGAATAAAATGATTTCAAGCAGTTTCACAAGTTTTTCATTTCAGTTTCATGTTGTTTTCCATTTTCACAACTTACATTTTGCTTTCCACGGGCATGGTTCAGAAAAATCATATATATCTCAATTGCACATTTTGAAAGAACATATTTTACTATTTTAAAATAAACCGTTTCACATTTTGAAATAATCGGTTTCATTTCACAAGTTGACATTTCAGTTTGATAATATTTTTCACTTTCAGAAGCTACATTTCACTTTACACTAGCACATTTTTGAAAAAACATGGTTAACTCTTTTGAATAAACTGCTACACATTTCGAAATAATCAATTTCACAAGTTGACATTTTAGTTCATATTGTTTTTAACTTTCAAACCTACATTTCACTTTGCATAGTTGTTTAACAAAATCATATCTATTTCAATTTCACATTATTCAAAAAACATATTTCACTCTTTTGAAGTAAACCGTTACACATTTCAAAAATTAAAATTTCACAAGTTGAGATTTTAGGTTCAAATTTTTTTTCACTTTCAGAAGGAGCATTTCACTTTTCATTAGCTTATTTCACAAAAATCACATCCATTTCAATTGCATATTTTTGAAATAACATATTTTACTCTTTTGAAATAAAAATGTTACACATTTCCAAATAATCAGTTTCACAAGTCGATATTTTAGTTTCATATGTGGGTTAAATAGGTTTCGGTGAAATGAGTATTTTTTCACATATGAAATGTGAAACGTCGAAATTTAAATGTGTTCGAAATGTTTCCAAAATCCATCTAATTCTAAAGCTCTTGACACCGCAAGTTCAAATATATAAAGAAAATTCAGAAATGAGTCTATAGTTTAAAAGGTATGGTTGATTTAAATTGTCTAACATGAAATAAAGTCTATGAATTTGTTCTGCATGTAGAGTGAGAGAAGAGACATGCATGCATACCTTACCTGACAAAACGTGTACTTTGGGCCCATTAAACAGACACTGATTTGACTAACAAGAAAAAAAATACAAGAAATATACTAGTGCTATGCATCTAGGTGGGTCATACATTCTCACCAATCTCAGAAGAAGTGAGTGGTCTCAGATGTACTGGTACGTAAGGCAACCGCGCAAAATGACTTTATATGACATCATCCATGAGGCCATATTTAGTTATATAGGACTTGCAAAGCTAAAAAAAGCTTGGACGAATAAAATGTTCTAAGACAAAAGTTAAACGTTCTAACAAAAAAGAAGAATTGGTCGGACGAAAAATTTATATTATTAGTGGCGCTCTATCATTAATCATATATTTTCCGTTCTAATACGCGGACGGTGTCGGCGCCTTCACGGGCGGTGCAGTGGTGCCCTTGGTGACGCGTACACGCTTGACGAGTGCAGACATGACGCCCATGATCTTCTCCAGGTCACCGTCTTTCGAGAGCAGGTCATTCTTCTTGGACGCCCCTTCCTGCCGGCACTCATCGCAGTTCCACATGACCGAGTCGCTCTCGGTCCTCGCAATGAAGCTCCGCACATCGGCGAGCCTCACGTTGTGGTGACTAAGGCGCGCGGCAGCGTCCTCGATGTCTGCCGCGCAATGGTCCATGCACCACCACATGCCATCCTTGATGCCCTTTTCCTCGGAGCGCGCGAGGGTGGCCGCCTTGGTGCTGGTATTGGCTGCAGCGTGGACCGCAATCTCGGCCAGCGCGAAAGCGTCCGCAGATTTACTCTTCGGGCATGCTGACAGGACGGTGACACAGTACTCCGGGTACGGCGTGTCGGCGCATGCCGCCTTGACATTGCCGCCGGTGGCGTCGACGAGGGAGGCCGCGCCTAGGAATAGGAGGGAGAGGGAGAAGGCACGCATGCTCGGGCAACGTGTCGCCATCGTCGTGGAGGTGATGCAAGATTTGCATGGTGCTATTTCCCGTATATAGAGGAGCATGGCGCTATTGCCCACCCCATATCTCTACCTAATAATAAAGCACGCATCATTTCTGATCGTCCGTCGTGCCTTTAAAAAAAAGTCCCTGCAACTTGTTGAAATCAACGCGCAGTCCATCTTTAAGTTGGGACGAATCGTTTTTTCTACTTTACATAAAACCTTTGAGCTTTATACTAATCAACCGGCAGTCCAACATAAAAGCCCCTAATATTTGCATTAATCAACCCGCAGTCCATCTAGACTAAATATTTTTCAAAATAATCATATCTTTTAAACTCTAACTTCAATTTTAACATGTTATACATGAAATTTGATTAAAAAATATGTAGAATCTAAATATGATGTTATTTTTATCTAGGAGCTATTAAAATATGCTATTTAGGGTGCAACCTAAATCAATGGCGCGTGATCCGTCATTCCTTCGTACCAGCATCGATTTATATTGCAAATAAACATGTCACACGCATTGCTCTATGCTGCTTGGCAAGGAGCGAGTCAGGAAATGATTACAATGAATAAATCACAATCCGTAGGCATGTTGTACTTTCACCAGCTTCTCTCTTTGTACATGTCCCATAGTCGAAGAAACTACATACGTATTTTTTTAGCAAAAATTCACACACGTACTTGCCACCGGACTACACTATTCATTTTTATTGTGAATAGAAAAATAATTTTTATAGCATATACATACACTTATGAAATTCATGAACATCAAAAGTACGTGCAGATATATTTATTAAATATCCAAACAATTCTTGTGATAGTCAGGAACGTTAATATTGGATCCAATACATACGATCTTAATTTGTGTTTTATCCGTGCATGTCATGGTGACACATATAGACTTTCTTAAATAGATTTAATTTATAAGATTTATGGACACTGGAAATACATGAAGATTTATTTTGAAAATCTCCAAACAATTCGGGGTGGCCTATTCTTAATATTTACTTTCTTCCGTTTTTCCTTTTTCTTTTCACCTTTTTTTGTACATTAAAAAATTTGGGACTTCAAAAAAGTTCCAAAAATTAAAAAAATGTGAATTTTCAAAAAAATAATTTGATAAATCTCATTTTTTTGTAGATTCAAACAATGTTCGTAATTTAGTAAAAATAATATTCAAAAAATGTTTGGAATTATGAAAACAAATGCTCGGGAAATCAAATAAATTCATGATTTGTTAAAAAAATCATGTATTAAAAAACTTAATTAAATTGAACAAAGTTTTGCTAACTCAAAAAATGTTCATGAATGGAAAAATATCCTAAAAGTTTAAAAACTGTTCGTGACTTACAATTTTTTTATTCATTCATAAAATCTCCGCTGATTCAAAAAATGATCATGTATTTGAAAAATATATATTCCTGAATTTCAGAAGTTGTTCCACCAATTTCCAAAACAATGTTCGTCCATTCTAGAAATGTTTGCTGATTCAATAAAATTGTTAAAAAAATGTCCATAACGTTTTTTTAAATGTTTGGAAATAGTATAAAATTTTATGAATTCAAAAAATGTGCTTGATTTTAGAAAATATTCAAAAATTTGTAAAAGTGTTCAGGAATTTGAAAAATGTTCACGAGTTTAAAAAAAAAGTTCATGATTTCACGAAATTGATAGTGATAGTGTATCTCGGTGATGCAACAAAATGTGATCATGGCCATGGGAGATCATGATTTTTTTTTCTCCCGTTGCGACGCACTGGTCATTTTTCTAGTTTTACGTTGTAATCATTTTATTTAGAACATACACAATGGATATAGTATCCAAGCTCTCGGCAAGACAAAACAAAATGATAAATCGGGTCTAAGACATTTGCAAGTTTAGAATTTGCAAAGAATTTCATGAGGTCGTCGTTCTTGTCTACAGTACTCCTATATGCATGCAGACAGATGGAAATAGACGAGTGATCACGAAGGCTGCAGCTCGTACGTCGCGCGCTATTGCCGTGCTCTCACCTGTATGAAACAGCCCATCGTCTTAGGTGCGCATGCAAATCGGCCGCTACATGCCCCCATGGCAAGCTCCCAAATAGTACTACAAGTTTGCAGTGCTACACACTGCCACAATCCTCTACATCCTTGCAAGTCACAACAATGGCATCTCGAACAAGAACCGCCACCTCTCTCCTCATCTTCGTCCTCACCACCACGGTTGCTGCGTCTACATCGTCCACAAATGCTGCCGCCACGCCGCCGTCACCAGAGGCACCGCCGCCGCCACCACCACCACCGCCACCGCCGCCGCCGTGCGTCGCACCACAGCCGGTTGCAGCGTTCCTCCGCGCGCGATGCGCCGCCACGCTGTACCGAGTGACCTGCTACAACACCCTCATCCCCTACGGCTGCGTGTTCCAGACAAACCCCGTCAGGCTCGCCCGGGCCGCCGTCGAGCTCAACGCGGCCCAGCTCCGCGCCCTCTCCACGCGCGTGAAGGAGGTCGTTGCCCGTGGCGGCATTGGCCAGCCGGGAAGAGCCGCCTACGCGTTGCAGGACTGCGCGGGCACGGTCTCCTCGGCGGCCGGGCTGGCCAAGAAGTCGGGGGCCGAGATCGGCAAGCTCGACGCGGCGGGAAGCAATGCGACCGTGACTCAGGTCAGGTGGGCGATCTCCAACGCGCAGACGTGGCTCAGCGCCGCCATGGGCAACGAGGCCACATGCACCGAAGAGCTCGCCCCATGGGGAGCCGCCGCCGCCGCGAAGGAGCTTGTTGCCCGGACGGTGATTGCCATGGAGAGCACGAGCGTCGCCCTCGCGCTGGTCAATGGCATGCCACGCTAAAATTAGCAATGGTGAAATGTGTGGTGGTGCCTCGTCGTTTAGTTTCCACGAATTAGGGACTGCTTAGTATACTTTACTACTCCCTCCGTCTTACACTAATGTTAAAAAACGTCTTACATTTAAGACGTCTTACATTATGAGACGGAGGTATAGAACGGAGGGAGTAGTTCCTTATAGAACTGAATGAGCATTTGCTGTAATAATTTGCAAGTGAAGTTGTTTATAAAAAGTTGGATTTAGTGCAATACTAACAACTAAGTAAATAAAGATGTAATCTCATACTGGAATGTTTTGTTCAGGACCATTCTTTTGTAACTACTAACTTGTTTTTTTTTTTGCGAAAAAAATTCCGATTTATTCATCAACAATTAAGGTAGTACAAAAAATAGTTGAAGTAAAAATTACATTCAGACCCGTAGATCACATCAACATCAAATTTTAATGTGGGATGAATGTGCAGAAACTAAAGCAAACCCAACGTATAAGATTTTGAGGCACATTCTGTCTTGAGGTACCATATGTGGTCTACACATGTAGGGTTGAAAACAAAGGAGATATTGAAATCTCTCTTTCCCCGAAAAAGAAGAAACACATATAAAAAATATTTTACTATGAGCATGATGTTCCACCTATCCGCTAGCTAGCGGCACTCCGGTCTGGCGTGGAGTATAAGATGGCAGGACTACCAGAAGATCCGTCATCAAGAGATGATGATTGAAACACCACTTCGTGTTTGTGGTGAAAAGCATTGTTCTGGCCTTGACGAACCTACGTCCTTACCTTGTCGAAGGCATTGTCTCATCAGAATGAAATCCGTATCTTGATTGTTTTGGCTGGGCAGGACGACGGCGGCAGGGGAACATTTATTCCTTCTTGAAGCCGATCCTATGGAAGAAGTCGACTTAGTCGCAGGTGTTAATTTTGTATCTTCCAATAATTTAATTTGTGTCTATGTCTTGTACTCTGTTTGTCGATGATTTTGATCCTTTGCCTTATATCAAGTTCAAAAAAAAATTGTGTGCATCATAATAATGCAGAGGCTGGTGGTTTCGTCCACTTTTTTTGGAAGAAAAAATGCTCATGATATCTCGTGCATGTATCAGCCATTGATCTGATTGCATATTCGAAGAAAGTAGCCATGTCACCCTTGTATTCCATAAGTACTGTTCATTTCACTGGAATTTACCCATGTATTGCACCAGTTATATCGTAGTCCGTCATTTTTTTACCATTAATCACGCTTGACGACTTTCCCTCATTACCGGCAAGCATAATGTGCCACGTCATGCTCCACATCCCATGATTATCATGTTATTTGAAGCTTTGAATCTATTTTATCTTTTGTAAGTGCATCCAGTGCCCCTTAGTAATTTTGGTATATTGAAGACTTATAGGTTAAGGGACTAATGCGTGTGTGAGTGTACACAAGTCTATAAGTCTATGAGGAGTTTGATATTTACAGGAAAAGTCGACCCCTAAAAATGAACATCTTCGACTGAAGATTTTGGTATTTCTGAAGACTTTCATGAAGAGTTTGAAAGTGAAGAAATTGGTGTGTCCGTGAAAACTTGATATTCATGCGAGGAATATGAAGCTTGAAGACTTTCGTTTTCATAGTTTTGTTTTTCTCTTTTTCTTGAGTCATAGGAAACACCGTACTGTTAAAGGAGATCGAGGAAATACTAAGGAAAAATTTCCATGTGATGCTCAACTCAAAATACTACACCTACCAATCCCTTCGAGTGAAGCCATTGAAAATCTCATACAGTTCAGTCAATTTCTTCAGTGACAGAGACGAAATTCTTCTGGTCTCTAAGGAATTTGTCCTGACTGAGGAGTTAGGAATTCGCTAGTGTGGATTGCCTACACAGTGAGGAACATGATAGCACTGAGGATTTTGCTACTCAAAATTCCGACCATTGTTGTGCTATGCGCAAGCTGTTCCAAAATATCTATCCACCTAACGGTCATATCATTGAAGGGCATTTATGTCTTATCATGTCGGGCTGCTCCCTAGGCCATAAATAGCCGCCCCCTACAACCACTAGCTGGTTGGCTGCTCCAAGAGAAACTGACACTTGTCATTTGAGAGCAACCCATCCTCCGATGACTTTGAGCGAAAATCATCAAGCGAGGAAAAACCAAAAACCCAAAAACCTACAA